CGACCTAGTTTTTGTGGCGTTTTGGCCGAGGCTACCAGGGTCTTGTGGGTTCAGTCGCCTTCGTGCGTGCATCCTTACCCGCCTCCAGCATTATTGAGAGGGGAACAGCTCGCAAACTGGTTGCAGTTTGTTGGAAACAATTGACTAGCACCAGGCTGCCCAACCAGCAGTGATCAGCAGTGCTTTGTGAGACCAAGCCGCCGTTTTTTGTGCGGAGAAGCATGTCTTGTATTGTATAGCATCGTGGGATGCTAGCCACTGGTCCGCCTCAGGGACCAGTCTTTGTATTCAATTGCTTCCTGCATGTTGGATTGCCACTGCAAGTCTTTGACTGGCAGCTTTCCGGCTTCGTTTATGATACCGGTATCTCCTTTGCGATGCCTCTAAGTTGCACCACCCATTTGCACCCCTAGCTATCATGAGTGAAGACCCATCTCCAAATTTCCAGCCATGTCTATCTTCCAAGAGGAAAACCACTCAGAATCGCACTTGCTCGTTGAGCTGGCAAGCTTCAAACCTCCGTTTGCTCAAGACGGCTTAAGGCTATGTGTCACTTTCCCCTGTTGGTTTTAAAGTTGGAACCCATCACTACTGAACATATGTGCTTTTTTTTTCCCCGGGGACGGAAAACGCACATGGAGGCCCAGCTTCCGGTCGAAGCATGGTCGAAACGCCCACGGGGTTCGGTGAGCGCTGAGGAGCTGCCATGCGGAGCGCTCAGGCTTCGAGGGCGCTTGGACAGAGGAGCACATGGAAGCGGGGGGCGAACCTTGTCACTGCACCGCGGCACTTGCAAAGATCCCAGGATTTCCGGGGCCGGCGCTTCCCTGACTGCAGAGAGAGTCCGTTCTACCTTTTACTTGTAGTGAGCCGCTTGAATCGTGAATGGGCTGGTTCCTGTGCACTACATTGGCACATGACATTGTGTCTGAAGTGGGCTTTCGATACTTTTTTCCAAATGACGCTCAGTAGCCGTTCGCTTGCAAGCCCGCCCCTATGCGTCAAGGTCCAGGATAGAAAGGTGAGTATAGCCTTTGGCCCAATGCTTGCACTGTGCGCTACCTCACCAGCACTTGCAATCATCGCATCGTGCATGGACTCTGAAACTGAAGTGGGAGCGTTGGGACGGGGCCTCAAATTCCGCCCTGCAGTGTTTTGCTTTTGGCTGCCTTGATGGCCCAGGATGTGCGTTCAATTGAAAGCTGCAAATTTCAATTTTTCGGCCAGTTTTGTGGTCATGCGCATCGGGGTCCATTTTTTTTGGTTGCGTTCTTCTCAATGGGACCATCTCTCCAGTTGAACGAGGTTATTCATGAAGCGAAGAATCCTGTCAATGACAGCCCCGCAGGACAAGCTCAAGTTCGACAATTCCTATTTCAAGGACATGGCGCAGAGTTGATGCATTGGGGCGTCAGGATTTCGCCTTTTGGCTTTGAAGACGGCCAGATGCGATACCCAAAAAAACTGTAGCCAAATGCAGCATGTCAACGAGACGACCCTTGCTGCGTTTGAATGCAAGATGGGTGTGGCTCAAAATTAAACAGGAGGGGTTACGCAGGTTTTGGTGCATGTTTCCACTTGCCAGGTTTCCACTTTGGTACCGGTTTTTTGAGCCACGGCCAGATCAATTTTTGGGTGTTGGACGGAATGATTTAAACTGGATGCGCCGCTGGCTGGGCTTCAACTTTCGACTGGGTGTCTCCGGTGGCCGGGGTCCATCCAGACTCGAAGCTTGCGCATTGAAAACCAGTCTCCACTGGCCGGTGCTTCGGAGTGGCCGGATTGGGTTCTTAAAGTTTCCGCCTCCATGCTTCGGAGCCGGTTCCGGGCTGTGCCCGAAGGGTTCCGATTGACAAGTTGGGGATGCCACCTGCGCTTATGTGGTGATAGTATGGACTCACTCCCTGAGTTCCTGGACTTTATACTTTTTGGGAAGACCATTTTGGTGGCAAATTGCCAGCCTTTTGCTGGCCAATCCACTGGGAAGATCTCGGAAGTCAGTCCTGGATCACACAAATCATGGCACAAAAGTTGGAGACTGTAGATTGCATGGTCGCCCGGCAGGACCTGCTCTACAAAGAGTGGAAGCTAGAGACAACCGCAAAGGGGAAGCCTCAGTTCAGGCTGGCCGGACATGGACGGATCGAATCGGTTGTACGAAGCACGTGGACATAGGCGATGACATACACATTGAGCGAACTTAGTTGTTCAAAGCGAATCGACCTTTTGACCTTTGGGTTTTTCCATTTCCGTCCATATTTAGTCATGGCCCCCAAAGGTGATCCCCTTTAAGGTTCAGGTTGTTTGGGCAACTGAGCGAATGCTTGTCAGATTAATTCAGGTTGCATGACTTGCCAGCCCACCGACACTTGCCTATCGGGGTGTAGGTAGCCGGCGCTCCCTGAGACTTGCGAACAAAATTTGATTATACCAACCAGGGCAGCCGAGAAACCAAACGGATTCCTTGGTGATCACAGGGGGGTGTAGACGACCCAGGTGTTAGTCACATGTGGGCGGCTTCATGATGCGCCATTTGGGCATTCCTGATTCGGCACTTGCTGCAACCGTTCACAAACTCAAACTCTTTGGTTGGAGAGGGTTGGAGAGAGTTGCCTTGGTGGTTCCCTGCCATCCCCTTTAAGTTTTTTGCTCTTTGGGGTTTAGTGGTCATTAGCTTCCACCACCTAAAAGTTAGACTTTAGCAGGGGGTCTGGGAACAGCCCAGTGTTTCGTATTAGGGTGGCATGCGGGAAGTTAACATGCTCCGACCCCGGATTGCATACTCTGAAAGTTTTTTTTTTTTTTTTTTTCATTGCCAGGTGTGGCAGCACGATGATGTTGCACACCGCCTGGGGCCCAGCTTTTTTGTTTTTTTTTTCCGGGAAGGCGAGCCATTCCCAGTGCGGCGGCGAAAAGGAGGCATCTACAACTGCAAGCCAGTGCATTTCTATGGGTGACATGTGCCAGGCAGATCAGATGGCCAGGCATCAAGGCACAAGGTCAACCACTTCCAACTAGGTGCATTTGTAATATTGTGTATGTGTGTGTGTTACGCAGATGTGTGTTTTGTGTCGATATCCAGTTGCGATCTCACCCTTGCATCAGGACATGGCCCTTGTCAATGACTCTGAATTCAAGCGACACGCCGGCGACTTAGTGTTTCTTGTTCTGTCGCCGTGTCTCCTGTAGTGACATCTCTGAGTCCCGATGAAGGAGGGCACACTGACTCATTTGCGGCACATCCTGCCTGTCAACTCAGCACAGCTGCAGGTGTCGTCAACCAAGTTCGAGAAACATCCCCTGAGGTGGTACAGTATGCAGCAGATCAAAGCCTCTGGTTTTCAGACTTCGACAAGGCCGGTCACTGCTCTCCGGTGCTTTCCTTCCCACCTTGTGTCACATAGCCCGGCTTGACCGACCTGGGGGGCAAACACTGTTCCAGGGGTAGCTTCCCCACTCTTTCCAGGGATCCTTCTCTCTAGAAAACCTCCGGAATCCCAGGGAAAATAGCTGGTTTTAGAAAAGAACGATGGTTGAAAAGAATGGGGAATTAACCTACAACTATATTGTCTTTCTACTGATGCGAACCCCCGGCTGGCAGGCATGGATGCGTTTGCAAGAGCTGGGCTGCAGCCCGGGGCTCACAGAGACGCGAGGGGAGCATGGTGCACGGGATCTTTGGACTTTCGTGAAAATAATGCACGTATAGTTTTCTGTGTGTATGCGTGTTTGCCTGTTTGAGGGTACCCTTCACAGCTTGGTTTCAAGGGACAAAGCTGTACAGCCTTGGTTTCTTTTAGAGCTCCAAATGAGGTGACTTGCTCAAAGCAACAGTGTAAGTACCTTTCCTCGCGTGAGTCATGGGGCCTGGGGGGGGAGGGGGGGGCTTATTCGGGCTCCTCCCCCTCCCTCTTCCCCCAGCCCCCATGACAATATGACGAGCTCGAGCTTCATTTTGCGCATTGCCCGCTGGTGGGTTGGACCTCCTCCCGTATGCGGGGCTGGGTCAAGGTGGGTTGTGGAAGCCTGTAGTTGTACAGCAAGATGGGGTTTATTTTGTACTTTGGATTCCGGGGTATTTATTTCACTGGGTGAATGTTCGGTTTGTATCGCATACGTTTTGTTTTTTTTTGTTTTTGTTTTTTTTGTAGCATAGACTTTAGATTGCAGGGTTTGCCTGGGTTTAGGTGAAGGAGCCATGCCACCGTGTTGGTTGGTTGTCCAGGCCGTAGGACTTACATGCGCCACGGGGCCCCTGAGATCTCTCTAGGCCACGGATCCAATGCGAATGGTCTCACGAGTATCCACTCTTGTTCTGAAGGTCATGCTCATGGCTACGGCATCTCAGCATTTGTCATTGGCCAGCGTAATTCCACCTAGTTGCACTTCACTGGGAAAGCATAACTAGGTTTGCCAGTAGGGGAGGGTTTCCCTACTAAAATAGACCACAGAAAAAAGTTGGTACCCTTATTCTAACCTCTCTACTGGAGGACCTAGATAAGGACACCCATAAGGAAACCAGAAGGAAACCACTGTGTTTTGTAGAGTCAGTTCGTCCAGGTTGGATGGAACCGCATGTCCTGCCGTTGTGTGGCCCAAAGCCTGGCTCCATGTTCGGCCGGCGCAGATCAGCGACCGCCTGCTACACACGGGTCGCATGTTTTTACTCGCATGAGTCAGAGAGCTTCTCTTAAGCCTGTAAAAAAGGATTCGACTCGGACCGAAACACAGACAAGCAACAAGACCTACCAGGCCTTGAGACCTCGACTCCGCCTGGTCCTCCAGCAACATGCCCTTTCCCATTCGTGGATATTTTGTTCCGACACATCAGGTGAAAGAGGTACTTCCCCGCAGGCTTTGGGTAAAGGGGCGTCTCAAGAAAGAGACCCCATGACGTAGCCCCATGATAAAAAACGCAGGGAATTCATAAACCATCCAACTGGTGGGTTCCTACGGGAAACCCAACAGGTTCATTCCCTCCCCTACCAACCAGGTTGGTGGAAGCAACGCCCAGCCTTTTGCCCCCGGAAAGCCTCGCATCGCCATGGACCGGGAGCGAAATGGAAGGCCGCGCACGCCGAAGACCGGCATGCGCCAATGGAATGCGCAGCTTGCCTTAAGCGCAAAGGGAGCAAGGCTTCGGATTTTCTGGTGTCCTTTTCCGATGTTGCGTTGGTGTGGTCCACTTGAGTTGCTTTCCGCTATGTTTGTACAATTTCTCTCCATCTCTCCTGTTGATTTCCTTGCACGGCGTATCACTTTGGAATCTATGCCATCTCTCGCATCCCGGCCTTGAGTTGCTTTCGTGGCCGTGAGTGAACTGTTTGGGCGGACCAAGCCAAAAACTTCTTATATAGAGGAGTCCCGTGAATCTTTTTTTGTTTGTGCTACAGCAATCCCTCCCCCTTTGGGGCATTGCTGTGTGTGGTGCTTATCAGTAAGTCGTTTCACTTAGCCTTGAACTTTCGGAGAGTTTGATATTGGTTTTACCACATTGCTCAGCTAAAAGGCTTCGTATTGTTTACTTTCTGAGTTATGTGTTCCATGTTGCTTGCAGTTGCTTTACTCTCGGCCTAGTGAAGCAGTGGCAAAACCGAGTATGTGTTATGAGGGCCTCCAACAAAGTCTGGGCCTTTCTGGAGCTACTTTCTGGAATTGATGTTCACCTGCCACAAATGGCCTACGGCCTAGTTATTGCCAACTTGCAACATTACCGGTGCTGACTGCCGTCAGACCATTTAAACGGTTTAAACACGCTGAAACAAGAAACAGGGCAAAGCCCAGCTCAGTTGCAATGCAGTTTCATGTCCTCGAGTGTTGGGCTTGCTTCACCGGTAATTTGTGTACATTGCCACCGAGGAACGGGCACATTTCGACACCCGTCTCGCAGGTGGAAGCCATATTCAAATATCAGTACGCAGCAGAGGCCCCACCTGTGCCCATGGACAAGTGGGATGAGGTGCGTACGCTGTTGGCTTCAGAACCGGACCCCTGCTGGAGGAAGCCCTCAGAGGCCAAGTTTCCGCTGCAGCCTCCACGTCAGGTGCCTCCTTCACGGCAGGCGAGGCGCGTGCGACCGCAGCCGCGACAAAGTCGGCCTGGCACGCAGCAGACGCAGCGGAAGCATTCGCTGCCGCCGCAGCGGCCCCGGTCGCAGTCGCCGCGCACGTCTCCGCCGGCGAATCAACGCACGCAGTCGGTCCAGGAGCCGCAGGTGGAGCCGGTAGCGCGGGAGCTGAAGGCGAGCCCTTCAAAAGAGGCGCCCAAGGCTCGGCCGGCGTCGGGGAGGCGGCGCGAGGTGCCACCATGGGTGCAGCTCAAGGATGACGAGCACCTCGAGGGTGGAATCCATGTGGACATTGCCCCGGGCTTGGTCGAAAGACTGCGGCGACTGCGGGCACAGACAAAGGATGTGCATGTTTGGGTCATCGTGGAGTGCTGTAGGCGGGTGATGCTGTCGTTTTCCAGCAATTCAGCTCACGCCATGGCCTTGAAACTTTTCGTGTTTTAACCATTTTAGCGGAAAGCAAAAAGTTTGGTTGCTTCTTCTGGCCAATCAGCTCATGAAGTGAGATTCTTTGAACTTTGTTTGCAGGGGGGGGGGGCATAATTCTATGTGGGGTTGGAACGAGCATCTCAGTTTAGCCATCCACCTTGAAAGGTTAAACATGTTTGGACGCAAGTTGCTTAGCACTGCTCCCTTTTCATCCAATTAAGGGATATTCTCTGAAATGTGTTGTCTCCTTCTAAGCCTGTCATGCCTGTCCACAAATGGGTTCCAACTTTTCATCCAGATTCGTAGGCGCGCATTTCATAGACTGGGAAACCCATGGGAAACTCACGGGATATTCGCGAAGCCTCCAAGGAGCCCTTCGAGACACCTCTGCGAAGGTTAGACGAGGTGTTTGAGAAAACTTGGTGGCTCCCAGCCATCCCCGTGGTTTTTTAGCCTTTTAGTGTTTAGGGGGAGTTTCCATTTAAACTCCTAAAAGTTACTCACTGTCAGCAGCGGATTCGAAAACGGGCAGCCCAGAAAAGATGCGCCCCCGTTTTTTTTTTTTTCTCAACGACTCCTCGACTTGGCCCGCAGGGACTGCGCGCTGCACGACGCGAGTCTGCGCCACGACGAGAAGAACTACCTGGGCCGCTTCGAGAAGATCCGGGAGACGCTGCTGCAGCGGTTCCCCAGCGGCGTGGCGGTGGAGCTCCTGGTGCCAGGCGCACGACGTCGGCGTCGGCTTTGGGCTCCTCGGATGGGTGGAAACCATTGTCATCCGGTTGAACCCGAAACCAGCCATCCTGGTTCAACATTTCTTTTCTTTTTTTCACCTTTTTTTCGGGCTTTTTTGGGTGGTTCCCCTCTAAACCACTCAAAGTTTGACTTTGAAGAGGGGATCGAAGGGGAACAGCCCAGACTTGTGGGAATCGCGGAAAGCGATTTTCCGGAAAAACATTGCACTCTTGTTGGAACTGTGGATGGACAACATCCAGGCCAGGAATAGGTGTTAAAGTGGCGTGTCCCAGTGTTTTTATTGATCTTGGTAAGCTGGTGCAGGATTTTGATCCCCGGTAGGGGGGGACAGTTGATGAGTGGCATCGCGGCACCCTCCAAAGCGCCGCTGGGTAACTGCTAAGGCTCCCTAAGGAACCTAGGGAAGCCTATCGAACCCTGAACTACCCCCCCCCTTGTAACTACCCTGCTCAGGGATTCCATGTTGCTTTGTTTGATGTCGAGAGGGCACCAGCCAAAATCGTGATTTCCCTCGTGCTGACTGGCAGCAGGTTGGGCAGAGCTTTACTCATATGGTGTGGGTCAAAACCAATGGGATCCCATTTTGGGGTAGGTGCACCACCCATTTTAGTCAATTTTAGTGGGGATTGGGATGTTTACTGGGGGTACGGGCTTTTGACCCATGACCCTTTGAAACTTGATTGCTATTGGGTAACGGATCTTTCGACTTGAGCTTGTTGGTTGAAATCGAGGTATTGAACCCACAAAAAGCTAAACTTTTTGCAGAGGGGTCGGTACAGCAACCAAGAGAAGCTTAACAGTCCTTTTGGCCTTGTTCTTTCTTTCTTTCTTTCTTTCTTTCTTTCTTTCTTTCTTTTTTTTGGGGGGGGAATGAGCCAAGCAGCCTCGCATTTTAGTCAAGAACTCACCCAAGCACCGCAAATTCAATGGAGGTTTCTTGTTTGCAAGGGTATGCAAGGCTTGTGTTTTGAGAATATGACCTAGTAACACAGATAAGCTACAATCAGAGTGCAGTTCCGACTGCTTTTCGCAGGAAGAAAGGGCGACACAGTGGAGGTGTCACTCGAGGAGCCGACAGGTGACGAACCAATTGAAGAGCCAGTGGTACAGGAGCCGCTGCGAATTCCTTTCCATGGCCCCTCCCACCTGTCACCATAGGTTTGGTGAATGAAAACCCAGGAAAGGTACACTAAACCGCTCCCCTGGCTCTTACATTTTGAGCCGCACATGCCCAAAGCTGACCTTTCGACCTTTTGAGCTTTTGGCTTTCCTGTGTTGTTCCATATTTGAGTCAAGGTCCCAAAAGGTTGACTTAGGTTTTGAGTGGTGCCCTTCTCTCCCCTTTTTGGGGGAGGGTTCTACTAAAATAGACAGATTCTAACCTCTCTGGATGATGGGCCCTCCAAGGAGCCGATCGAGGAGAAGAAGGGCCCGGAGCCCGTCTTCCGCATCGGCTCTTTTGAGGTGAGGAATCTCCGAGTCGAACATGTTCACTCCACAGGGGTCCTTTTTAGGGTAGTTTGGTTGAAAATCGATGGCACTGGTTTAGATGGGTTTATTCCACTTACCAGGGCCGTCGATTGTTGCAAAAGGCCACCTATGGTTGACTCGGACACGTTGCCCCTCGAACGGGCAGGTTCAAGCTGGTTGGATGGGACGGGAAAACCTTTGAGTTGGAGGTTGAGGACGGCGGGGCACGTCTCATTGCCAAAGAACAATGGGCAAGGCGCCGATGTCGGACTCGCAGCCTGAGCTCATGACAATGGTGGTCCAGGGGTCGTGTTTCTGTTCCGCTTGAACCTGGCTGTGGGTCAAAAATAGGTACCCAAAATGGCTTGCCCTGGTAAGTGGCAGCATGGACCAAAAACTGCGGTTTTCGGGTGGTTGAATTTTGACCCACACCCATGTTGTTCTTTCCTGCGCATTGTTTCGTGGACTGATGCCCCAGGTATTGGGGATCCACGGGGGTCCTTGCACCGGGTCCCGGGCTGTTGCAGTGGATTGTCCGAAATGGGCGGGGGGAGGGTGGGGGGTATATCGCCTTTTCACCTGTTACCCACCTCGTTGTATATGACCCTCCAGTACAAGGGTGTATTATGCCAATGGGGCTGTATCACCGTAATGTATTGAATGAATCGTTCTTATACATGCCCCATCATGCCCCCTTTTTTCGCGTGAGGGAAGCGAATCACCCTTTTCACCTTTTGGTTCTCCCGTTTTGGTCCTGGCCAAATGGCCCCCAAAAAGGTGATCACCTTTTAGTTCCTGATCCTTTGCGCAACTGGGTACATTTTCTGATTGGTGGGCCAAACAGATTTTTCTCCAAAAAGCCAACCTGGGCAAAACACGAATGACTTTGGGCAGCGCAGCCGCGCCGAAAATTCAGCAGCATGCCGCAAGGTCTACCTTTGCTGCGAGGCGCCTATGCGCCCCTGGGGCGCTGGCGTCATTTCCAGGAAGATGGGCCTCAACAGTGTTTGCCCCTGGGATGTCAACTTTCCTGGTGCTTTTCCAGATGAGTGCTGGCTTTGCAAGTAAAGGGTGCCACAAGACGAGAATCCTTTTTTGGAAGCGAGTGCCATTCTTCATCTTGGGATTGCTTTTGCTGGCCAAGTACTCTTGGATCAGTGATCCGCCGGCTCAGCACCGGCACAAGCCAGTTCAGTGTTGGTTAGGGCCGAGCGGTTGATCCAACAAAGCACTATTCCTCAGATTTACTTGCCAGGTCGGGGATTGTCCAGACATGTTTTTGCAACTCCTCCCCAGTGTGCAAATTGCTACCCGGCATTCGCGGTTGTTGCAACAAGTTCACTGCCTTAGTCGTCCAAGTTGAGGTTTGCTGATGCAAACCTCACTTGCCCAAAGCGAATCGACCTTTTGGCTCCTTGTTTTGGTGCATTTTAAGTCATGGCTCCCAAAGGTGGACCTTTTCATTCTGGGTCCTTTGGGCAACTGAGAAATTGCCGGCAGTCACGTGGTTTGTCAGGCATTCTGCATTCACGATCTCAATGCGCTTCATCTCAAGTTCCTCCGCATTTCCATCTCTTTGGGTGTTTTTCTTGTTTATGCCACCAAAATGGCAGCTTTCCTTGGGCTTCCCTTTGAAACCATGATAAACCATCCAAAAAGGCGCAGCCTCAAACAAAACACCAACTTCACTATGCCATTTTGCAGCGAGAGCCTTGGGCCCTGGGCTCTGCCGAGGTATCTCCTCAAAGCTGCGGAGTAGAGCCTGGCCGTCCATGGACGGGCTGATGAAGCGCATCGCCGCCTCGATGCCGCAGCCCGGCGGTTCTGAGTATCCAGCCCAACCAAACCAGCCAGCCGGCTAACCAGCAAACCGGCCAACCCACCGACCCACCCACCAACCAAACAACCAGCCAAGGAATTGAATGAACATGCTCGTGGAAACCAACAGGAGAATGTTAGGAACTTAGCCAAACAAAATCTGGCAAAGACAGGTTTGGGACAATTTACTGCAGAAGTTCCAGTGGCCGGTTTGTCGGACATTGGGCGCAAGAAAATGTCGCAGCTTTTGGGGGCTGCCAAGACAGGGGGGGGGGAACCCCCTCCCAAGGGACCCTGGAAGGTCACTTGTATCATTGCACAAATTGCACTAAGTGCGCATGAGTGATACTTAAATAGCAAATTGCTTTTGCAGCCACTTAGGCATAAAGTGACATCGTTTTGCCCAAAATTGATGTGCCGGCAATTGGCCAGCTATTGGGGGCCGGTATATATGTTATATGTATATATATATATATATGCACACATGTGTGTTCGTTCTGCACTGACTTTGACATTGTTTTAGCATGAACTTCGAGCCAATGGGGCAAGGTTGCGAGTTGCAGCTTCTGCTTTGTTGTTCTGCTTGGCATTTGCTCAACGTGACATGTCCAATGGGGCTACGTCTCCAGGAAGCTGATCCCGTTCCGAAACGCAGGCCGTCCAGGCGGAGGCTGCGAAGGCAAACGACCCGGGAACTGAATAGCTAGCTTTGCCCGCCATTCCGTAAGAGTTCTGCCGTGGCTTGAATGAAACTTCTGGCCGATTCGCACAGTTCCGGGGGTGGGGGGGGGGCTTGGGGGTAAATCTGCGTCGCTCCTCTTGGCGATTTGTTACTGCGCCCTTGTCTTATCGGCTGGTCTGTTTCCTTTCCCCTCTTTTCGACTGGTTGTTTCTCCTTTGTCCCCCTTTTCTGTTTTGCTGTTTGGGTTGGTTGTTGGTTTGCCTGCTCTCCTGGTCCCGTTCTCCTCTTTCGCTTAGGCTGATGCTTCTACGCTGATAGTTTTGGAGATCGGTTTGCGGTTGGAGGGTTGTCTCGGTTGTGGAGCCCTTCCTTTTTCGCCGGATTTCCCTTCTCTTGGCATGATCTTTGGGTTGCTTTTACGGGAGCTTTTGGATCGGCCTGTCACGGTTATTCACGTGATTTGTTTTCTGGATGAGTACACGAAGGTATCCTGCTAAGCGGCAAGCTCCTGCTTCACACGTGCACGCATGCCTGATGGTGCAAAAGTGGTTAAACTTCATTATGTCTTTGACACGCAAATACTCCGTATATATGTATATACATGCATATATATATATATATATATTTCTTTACATTTATATCTATCTATCTATATATATATATCTACATCTATATATATACACACATATATATATACATATATACATATACATATATACATACATACATACATACATATATATATATAGATACACACATATACATATACATATATATATACACCCATAGATACATATTTGCATATGTGTAGAGCAACACAACATGTGTAATTCTTTTTTTTGCATTTTGATCAGCTTTGCACATATTCACCTGGAAGTGTGTATGTAGATAGATAGATCAATATATCCATATGTGCACGTATATGTACTGCATGACATGGTGTCGGACGCCCGTTTCTTGTCCAAGAACCCCCAGTAGTGCCCTTTTACAAAATCTTTTTTGAGGCTTCCCCTACTAAAATAGACTGAACCAAGAAAGGGGTACCCTTATTCTAACCTCTCCACTGGAGGACCTAGTGTCCTTCCATTTGCGAAACTTGTTTACTTGTTTACTTCCCCCTGTAAGATTTAAAGGGACTCTATCGCTACTGGACATATTTCTCTTCTTTTCAGAGGGCGAACACGCGAAGGGAAGTGTCGGCTTTTGCTAGTTTTTTGTTCAATTTGTCCATCATTTTCATGGACACGTTTTGCTATGAGGCTTATTCTAAGCTCTCTGGAGCGACCTCTCCGGTTTTTCCCACAGGCAGGTGGCCGCCATGGTGGCGGTGCGCAACGAGCTGGGCTTCCCGTTGCCCCAGGTGCGGCTCGTGGCGCTGGAGGAGTCGGCGGTGCTGGGCGCCTCGCTGGCTTCGGGACGAGGGACGTCGAGGGACGAGGGATGTCCAGGGCGGAGGGGATTTGGAGGGGGGAAGGGGGGGTCCATAGACTGAGCCCGTTTTGGACGGCCGTTTTGGACTCCAAAGTTTGGAGGGCTGCCTAAAAGAAATTCGTTTTGCAACCACTTGAAACATGTGGGCTTTTTCAACACCAAAGTAAAGTTGGAAGCCACCATTTACAAGTTGCAATGTTCATGTGTATAATGTAAGGATCCCTGATAGACTGAGCCCATGTTGGACCGCCGTCTTGGACTCCAAAAAAAGGCTGATTCTCGATAGTTTATGCCATAACTAACCGTGAATTAAGCCAGAAACTAGCGGTTCATAGCAGGGGTTTCTGGGGTCCTGAAATTTCCCTTGGCTTGCAGATCAGCCCGGGAAAATTGACAGGAATTCCGGCATAGGTGTTTGAACTTGAAAAGACGATCATGGTAGGTGTAAACAGCAAGTGGCAATCCAGTCGGAAGTGAGTTGGCCCTGTTGGAATGGGTTTCCTCAGCCGTCGCCTTTTGGAAAAACCATGTTGGGCCGGGTTTCCATTTGGTTGGGATGTCTGAAGGCGGCAGGACTCTGAAATCGGTTCTCCCAAGCGACTGAGGCTCCTCCGGGTGATGCCTGCCTTTCTAGTTTGGTGCGCAATACTGGAGTTGCCGTTTGCCAATGTGGCCATGGGGCACAACCTATGACTCCCATTTTGGTGTGGCATCCACATCCATTTGCCACCTATTTTGATGTTCACCAGGGGTACAGGGTTTTGACCCACAGCCATGTGTGCCCCCGTGTTTATGTTGGTCAAAGTGCATCCCATCCTGCCGTACCATTCAGAAGGTCCCTCGACACCAAGCTGTTTGGAACGAATTGCTCACGGGCAAGCGTTTTGCCGGCCAGGGTTTGAGTCCATTATTCCTTGTGGATGGGAAGTTCTTCCATTTGCTCAAGACTAGTTGTTATTTTCCCCTGTGGGTTTTAAATGGAACCTATCACTGGCGGAGATATTTTCCCATATTTTCCAGGGGCTTAATTAAGCAAATTGGTGGGGACATTGAATGATGCTACGGCATGCTACTCCCCGTGACATTTTGTCCCAGATGGCGAACGTCTCGACTTCCTTGATGGTCGACCCACATTTCGTGGGGGGAATGGATCCTCAGAAGATTTAGCCCAATTCCTCGCAAGCTGGCAATACTTTACCTGCAGTGCTTCCCTGTTGATTACAGTCAAAAACCATTGATAGAATGTGAGTGGGGGATGAGGTGCCCTCAAAAACACTTGTTTGCGTTTTTTGTCCTTTGAGGATGTTTTTCTGATGGGGTTAAAAGAGGCTTAAAAACATCAGAAGGTACTAGAGGCAAGGGACCCATACCTGTGTCAGATGCCTGGAGTTGAGGCCATGGTCTCACCAACCCCGGCGGGCTCTTGGAGCTCGCGTTGCCGCTCTACACCCCTCTCACGCTGAAGGCAGAGCGCGCAGGCGCGACCTGGTGCGACGCGGTCGAATCGCGGTCGAGTCGCGGGCGAGAGACGAATCCGCCTCGAGCCAGAAACCGTTTGCACCAACCTCTAGTGGACAGCTGAGCGGGAGAGAAAGAGAGAATATGCTAGCTGAAGAGTGAAGACCCCATGGACGCAACGGCACAGAGAGAGAGAGAGAGAGACAGAGAGAAAAACATGCCAGCTGAACTCAGGAAATGGCCCCAAAGGGCCACCCCCTCGGCCCCACCCCCGGTACCAATTGCTAACCCAGGGCCCCCATGGTTTTGTGTTGCAGATTAAATCCCCCCATTCAAGGCAAAAAGTCTTTGCGGCAGAAGCCCATTGAGCCAAGTTGCTAGCCAACGCATCAGTCAGGGGTTTCTCCATTCGCCTTTTTCGAACCTCCAAAAAGTGGAGTCCATGCAAACCCCCAGCCGGTTGCAACTTGTGGTCAAATTATTTGGGGAAATCGAGCGACCCCTGGTCAATCAACATTCTGACTCCCAACCCCCACCACTGTGGATGGACCAATCCCGCAAAGGATGAAACCGTATGACTACTTAGATAAACCAAACTGGAGGAAGTTGCCAGGGACCAATTGCTGCATATGGCAGCGCCCTTGTTTCTCCTTCGCTCGACGGTGCGAAGGGGATTTTTGTTCTTTCGCCCATCTTGCGAACGCTGCGATAGGGAATGTGGGTATGAACCGGGCCTGGGTAGCTCTTGCCCGTCCAAAAAGTGTTTGCCTTTTCCTTGGTGGTGCTCAGCAGGAACCTGAAAATTCCCGAACAAATGAAACCAGCCGTTGGAGGTTCAGGCTCCTTCCACTTCTTATTCCCCCCATATCGCACCAAGCTAAGCCCGCGCCAGGCTTCATGGAGCCCCAGGAGAAGGTGCTGGAGATCCAGAGCCCGCAGACGGAGCTGAGCTTCGTCACGGAGACCTGCGCCTCGCCAGTCGCAAGTCGCAAGCCTTGCCGCTGTTCCAATTCGGCGGAAGGCGGAGGCGTGAGGCTTGCAGATTCGAAGTCTGTCAGGGTAGGGCGTGAACAGAAGCAGAGAGAACCCGCGTCAAGCCCCGCAGTGCTGCAATCAACGCATTGCCGCGCAACAATGAAACGAGCGGGCCTTCTGAAGGAGAACACATCTGTTTTTTGTGTTGTTTGTTTGTGGAATAGGCTTGCTTGCAAGATGCGCTCTTTGCTTGGCCTTCAGGCATCCAGCTTTGGCAGCACGAGACCGCAAGCGAGTTGGTGGTCTTCTGCTGCGACCCACGTATTGCGGGGGTTCCCCCTGCCGGCGACATGGTGCCCTTCCAAGGCAAGTCGCAGCACCAGAGGGTCCGCCCCTTCGGCTTGGGGCAGAAAGTGGTTAGAGTACCTTAACTAGGTCCCCCCCAGTAGTGCCCCTTTTGCCGTTGCTTTTTTTGGGGGAGGGTTCCCCTACTAAAATAGACTACAAACAAAAAGTTGATACCCTTATTCTAACCTCTCAAATCTGGAGGACCCAGTTAATTCGAAGGTCCCAAGTCCAATTGCCCCCAACACGGGCCCTCCAATCCCAAACGGGGCTTATAGTGACTCCAGGGTTCCTTTTCGGGACCATTTCCAGGTCCCCCAAAGCCCCTGACAGCCATGGGACCAAGGCATCCTTAGCTGGGATGGAGTAGTTGAGTCGGCCTGGCGAAAGAAAAGGCCTGCATGACATTTGCAGCCCCTCAAGCCCGACAAAGGTACGAGGTTTGCAAGAGACCGTGCGCTAGACAGTAAGTAGACATGTGCCCATAGCCAGCTACTTTCAATGAACATTTTTATGATGCCCTCGCCTTGCGGGCTGAAGGCAGTGGCAGATTCAGGGCGGTTCTGGGAGGGTTGTAGCCCTTTTTCTACACCTAGGACACACTTTCAGTTGTTGCTTTTGGCTTTGGCCCTTCATGTGTGTCGACCACTTTCGTGCGGCCATTGTCATGTTGGACATGTACCAAGATTTCTGTGGCCACAATTCAGCATTTCTGGCAGTCAGTTCTGTAGTTGGCAGCCACGCCACATCTTGCACCAGCTACAAATTGCCCTTGCGCAGTAAATGCGTCCGGCATGACTGGAAGCGATGGGTCATCGTACCGTAGGTTTGGCGCAGTATTTCCTTGATGTGTTTTTGCACCAGGCATCATGTCATCACAACTTTTCACAGCCACCTGTGTCGGTTTAAAATTCCCAGATTGTTTTGTCCTGCTTTCACCGTGTCCAAAGTTCCAAGCAAGTGCCAGGCTTCGCGCATTCCATCTACGCAAATTGTTATGAGTTCAATTGACAGTGGCTCCTTACCTTTGGCAACCTTCTATTTTTTGTGAGTTAGAGTGATCCCTTAAAGGATGTGTTTGGGCCATTTGCGAATTTTCCATTGGACCCCCACAAGCGCCTCACTTTTTGCCGGAAGGTCCACAGCAACCAAGATTACCCTCCCGCCAATTAACATGGAACCTGCCAGGGTCCTGGAAGACCATTTTTTTTAAAGGGACCCCCAAACGTCAGGTTCCATGTCACTTGGTGGGAGGGCAAATGGCTGTGGGTCAAAAACAGGTACCCAAAATGGCTTGCCCTGGTAAATGGAGCCAAAGACTAAAATCTGCGGTCCATATGCTGGTGGCTTAATTTTGACCCACGCCCAAATCAAGCCTGGTGATTTCAGATGTTCCGCTTTCTGGAGGCAGCCTGGAGTACAGCAGCGGGGAGGCCTTGCGCCCCGACGGTGGGGGCTACCTGCGTTGCCGCGCAGACCCTCTGCAGGAGGTGGAGTTTGCGGCGTGCAGCGGCTGGAGGCCGGGTCGGAGCGAGCGAGCGAGGTTTTTCCTCATGTTGGACCCTTGGAAACTCACTTTCTGAGGTCATGGACTTGAAATACTTGTTGTGTGTGGTTGTATTTTTTGGGGTACATAGAATATAGAATGGTTGGCTACTTTGTTTGGCCAACACTCTCAGAAAGTGAGTTGTGTCATGGGTTCCCCCCTGAACAGCGCCACCAGTCATTCGGAGACCCTTGAAGGAGGCGATTTAAATCGAGAGGCTCCCGTGGGTTGCTGTCACCCCCTCATCCTGCATTGCCCTGCAGCATGGTTCAAGCATGTTTTGTTTTTTTGTGTTTTTTTGGGGTTTTGGTGTACCCAAGTAGCATCAAGCAGCAGAGCTCGCACAGCCATACCTGACAGTTGCCTTTGTTCTTCAAGAGGTGGTATCACCCTTTAGGCAAGGTCTAGGTTCATGGTTTAGGTGTAGGGTTCAGGTTTAAGGTTGAGGGTTCAGGCTCAGGGTTCAGGTTTAGGTTAGGTTCCAGGTTCATGTCTAACGATTTAGGTTTAGGGTTCCGGTCGGGGGTTCAGGTTGAGGGTTCAGGTTTAGGGTTCAGGTTGGGTTCGGGTGTAAGGTTTGGGCTTAAGGCTTAGGTGGAGGGTTCAGGTTTAGGGTTTAGGTTTAGGTGCCGGGCAAAGGCATCGCGGGTTCGCTGGGATTGTGGTGTTCGGGATGCGGTGGTGTGGGGTTCGACTCCTCGTTGTTGTTTTGTTTGGTAAGTCAAAGGGCGAAGACAGTTTCCTCTACAGACTCCTGGAGCTGTGGCAACTGCAAGGCTAAAATGAAACAACCAACCAGCCAATCGACCATCCAACAAATCATGTAACAAGCAGCCTGGCCAGCCAATCACCACGCAAAAGCAACCAACCATTTTTGTGCCCGGCGACGGGTGAACTCTGCTTTTTTAGTAGGCTTGGGCCAAACGCTCGTTTTGTCACATGTTCAAGCTTCAGAAAGGGCGGACAGAAAGCTGCCTTCGACACGTCCTTTTCATGGGTATCATCCAGCCCTCCCCCCGAAGCTTAGCAGGTATTTATGCCGAAATTGCACTAGGTCCCCCAGTAGTGGCCTTTTACTCTTTTTTTGTTTTGGGGAGGGTTCCCCTACTAAAATAAACTACAGAAGAAAGGGTGCCTTTTTTTCTAAACTCTCTACTGGAGGACCTAGTGCGAGTCTAAACAGGCTGCCGGGCAATGTGTGACAGTCTCCAATCTGCAATAAATCTAGGAGTACCTTCCCCATTCTTTCCAGCCATCCTTCTTTCTAAAACCCGCCCAAAACCCTGGGGAGAAACAGCGATCGGTTTTGAAAAGAACGATGGTTGAACAGAATGGACAAGGAATCAACCCCTAGAACAAAGAACTTGAAGCCCAGCTGCCGGCTGTGTAGTTCGCTGCTTCGTGCATGCCTTGGGGCCAAGGGGCAGGCAAGTGCATCCAGCAGACCGATTGTTTCCAGCAAGGGCCCAATCTTAGGCAAAGGCGACTCCCCAAAATCGATCGCACCTGCTTGTGCAAGGGGCCCAAAGGGCCTAGCGACAGGTTCAAGGAGAGACGCTATCAGGCTTGGTTGGAGCACGTCACACATGCTGCACCGCACTGCCCACCAAACCAAGCAGGAACTGCAATGGGGGGCACCTGCCAGCTGCGGAAACCTGAAATTGCACCTCGATCATCCTCAATCCATGCACCACTCGCTTTGGTTTTCTGCTCCCTAAGGTACGAGAGGCGGCTCATGAACCAACCACAAGCTATTTGCCCCAGGGGGGGGTCCTTGTCTTTTTTCCATGAACAGCCGGGTTTCAGGTCACCTGCGTTTGTGGTTTGAGGATGCTTCTGGAGCTAGGCTTAGGAAAACCGACCCAAACCCGCAACCAAACAAAACAACAAAACAAAACAGATCAACACCTTCAGCCAACCAATCCAAAATAATCCAAGCATTCAACCCCAAGCCAAGCCACCAGTCGAGGCTTGCAGTCATCCCTTGACCTCACTTCCTGAGTTTCTGGACTTGAAACACCTTTTGGGTTTCGACCATTTTAGTGGCAAATGAATAAAACCTCCGGTTGCTGCTTCTTTGTGGGCCAATCCACTCCTAGGTCCCCCGGTAGTGCCCTTTTACCCTTTGTTCGGGAAGGGTTCCCCTGCTAAAATAGACTACGGAAAGAAACGGTCCTTGTTCTAACCTCTCTACTGGAGGACCTGGACTCGATCCGAAGTGAGTCATCCCTCCCTCGTCAGGTCCTGCCCGGTGCTGGCGCGCGCGGAGCAGATCCACGGCACCGGGCGCCTCATCGAGATTGCGCGCCTGGGTACCCCCATCGTGGAGGCTTGGGGGGGGTTCCGAGTGCGCGGAACCGCTCGGCGACTGAGGGGGGGGGGGATGTGCAAGGAAAAAAACAGGGGACCCAGGAAGAAATGTAGGGAATAGGGGGACAGTTTTTGCAGGGTTTAAATTTGCAGTGCCTTTGTTTTCACCAAAGTTTTCAAGTCTAAGCCAGGCATACTCATGGTTTGAGGCGAGGAGGTTGCTCCTCCGTTCCCCTCCGCCGGTTCCACCCGTTTCCCTCAAAGTTGCGCAAACAATCCCCGCCCGCAAGCCATGAAAAATGCGCATGCCGATCAACGACCCGCAAGGAGCAAACCAAAGCTGGGCCTCGCATCCAGGTGTCGATGGTCACCCGCTGCTGCGGCTGTCCCATGCCCAACGCGCGGATCTCGGTGGACGGGCACTTCTTCGGGTCCACCGGGGCGGCGGCGGTCAGCTGCGGCCTCCGCCTGGGCCCTTTGGCCTAGGGGGGGGGTGCTGAAAAGGCAAACCATGGGGAAACCATGCAGAAACCATGGGGAGCCGGAAGGTTTTTAGGGAACCACGGGGAGCTTGAAGTTGGATCCGACCTTTTCCGTGGTCGACGGCGTTCGGATGTTTGATCCTGCCATAGGTTGTCACATGTCCAGCGGGGAGCGCTCCGGAGGATCTCCCCCACGCCAGAAAAGACAGGGCCTGGAAGACGGGTGCGCCTTGTGAGTTTTCTCGATACACGGATTTTAGCACAAGCAGCTGAAGGACATGGGTAATTTGGAGTTGTCAAGGTCCTTTGCCCTTGGGTGAATTGTGATTCTTGGCCAAGTGTCGGGGGCGTTGCAACTTTGAAGTGACGCGCCCACGACCTCGAAGATCATGCAGGAGGGTTTGTTGAAAAGGCCCTGACGTATGGATGTGTGTTTTTCTTGGATTTTTTTTTGGGGGGGGCTGTCAGTCGGTCGGTATGACGCAACTCTGCCGTGTTGGATGTGCAGTTGTTGTTCGGTGGCATCCATGGAATCAAAACATGTCTCATGGCCCACTCCAAAGTTTATTTGTTCATCTGAATTCTTGAGTCGAGGCGAGCACAGCTTGCTGGCCGAGCACCAGCTTTTGTCTCCGGGCTTGACGATGCCACTGATGCTTGGCTTTGACCAGTTCGTGTGGTTGGGTGTTCAGAGCTGCTTATTTTTGGCAACCATGCCCCTCTCGTTGCTCTGGTGCTTGTCATGAAGCCTTGCGCGGTTTTGCACGCTTGCATCCTGGTTGCATCCTGGCCCGGGCCGCATCAGCGGCGCGAGCCACCTATGCAAACTGATGACCTCGTGGGCAAGAAGGGCACATGCTGAGATTGACCTGCTGACTGTCAAAGAAGGGCTGCGCTCAACTCAACAGAGGAGAATGTATCAATCGAGGGGGGCATCACAAGAACAAACCATTTGGCCAATTGGGATGCATTCTTGGGAGGTCTTGCCACTAGGAAGTCGGAATTACTGTCCATGCTTTCTAAGATGGTGCCTTGACCAAAGTGAAGTTTCCGCCTTCCGAACTAGCCAGCTTTGCATCCAACGCGTTCTCAGGCCTTCCCATGCGACACTAGCGAGCAAATGAGCGAATGAGCCTTCTTCGACGCCACACACACACACACAGCGAGACACACCCACACACACACACTCAAACACAGGCAAAATAACACACACACACACACACAAACGCGCACACACACACAATCGCACACACACATACAAGCAAACAAAGAATCCAACAAGCAGACAAGCCAACACACAATCAAACACACAAAAGCAAACACACACACACACACAAACACAACCACAGGCACACACACACACATACACAAGCACCTCAACACACATGAAAGCAAACAAACACACGCACACACACATACAGACAAACAGACGAAGAGACATGCAGACACAAGCGTACTATCACACCAAGAGCACACAAGCACACATGCGCATGCAAAACGCATCTAGGCATCTCACTCATAATATTTCGCCCAAGGAACATCAGTGGCTCAACGACATGCGGAGTTCAGGCCTGGGCAGCTTGAGGTTCTGTGAGTGCATGTGGTAACGCTGCTTTGCTGCCTTGACGGATCAACCGGTCATTACTTGTTGCACCAGCTTGATTCATTTCTGTGAGTCTGGTATGTGCCTGCTGCGTTCGGCTAGTTTTCTTTGGCAGAGACATTTGAGATGACAGCACCAAAAGTCTGGACTAGGTTGAACAGGTTTGTGTTGTGCAGCATGCATGTCTCTAGACTCTGTTTGACCATGTGCAGTTTGGGCATGCGCGTTCTTACGGTGTATGTGTGTTAAGGAACTTTGGCTGGGCAGTTTTTGTTCAAGCGGTTTCACTGATGTCAACTCATAAGCTGCGTGCGCGTTTCTGTGTGTGTGTGTGTTTGTTTGTGTGTTTGTTTGTTTTTTTGTTTGTTGTTTGTTTCTTTGTTTGTTTGTTTGTTTGTTTGTGTGTGTGTTTGTGTGCGTGACCGATCGTGCTCAGAAGGATTGCTGAAGCAACTTCATGCAGGCTTCGTGCTTTTCGTCCCGGCAAGTCAAAACTTGATACGTGGCTTGCAGCTTCAACCGCTGAAGGGCAGACTTCTTGCATTTGGAAGCCTCGCTTTGGACATCGATGCGTCCTGCCGGGGTCCTGTTTTTTTTTTTTTTTTTTTTTTTTTTTTCTTTTTTTTTCTTTTTTTTTTCAGTTGCTGCGCTGAGCTCGACTGCTTGCACTAGATCATGTGCTCTCCTCCTTTCTCTGACTGTAACTGCACCTAACATGGCAAAAGGTAAACGTGATTATTCTCAGCTTTTATGCCAGGGAAGGCTTGTTTAAGGATCCACCAGCTGAAGATGAAGCCATGCAGCTTCAATACATAAAGTTCTGTACCTCTGGCTTTGTTAACTTGGCTTCAAAGCATCGAGGGGAGAAGCTTTGCATTGGCCAGTGAGCTGCCCCCTGCAATTCAACAAGGTCTGGCTTGAGGCTTCTGTTTTGAATCCAGAGGTAGCCATGGCAGCCATTTTTACGTGAATAAACCGCCTTTATATACTGACAGCTGGCACTCTTGGTGAGATTATAAAGGCTATGTTGGGTCTTACGCTGAAATGTTCCTTGACCATTGGTACGGTACCCTAGATCTTGCACTCTTGGCAAAGAAAAACCTTTGTTCTCCGAGTGTTCTCCGAGACAAAATATGGAATGCGGTCCAAGCGGGGGGGGGGAGGGGGCAGTTCACTAAGGCTCCCTGAGGAGCCCCGTAAGGAACCCTAGGGCTCTCAGCTACCCACCCCCCTTGTACCTCCCCCCCCAACAGTTCCACAAAAGAAGGTCCGTTCTGAATCTTATTTGCCCAGTTTGTTTTTTTGGGGGGTGGTTTAAAATCAACCCTGAACCCTTTTGCCAGATGGGTGTCCTACGTAGAATGCATGGCCGCTGCTATCACAGTATGGGTGTTGTTCTGTTGTGGAGCCATGCTGTAGATTTACTTTTTAGGGATTAGAGTTGTTTTCCCATTTTGAACAGCCCAAGAACCTAAGCTCATTGGGCCATGGGTCAAAAGCCTGTACCCCCAGTGAACATCAAAATCCCCAGTAAAATAGCTTCTAAAATGGGTGCGGCACCTACCCCAAAATGGGATCCCAAAACGGTTTTGACCCACAGCCATTTTAGTGATTCAAATTGACATCGTTCTGACCAAACTTCGGGAAGCGGAAGCGCAAGTCGCCAGGTGGCCTTTCCTTTGGACCGCTTGCACTTCGTGTGCACCGCGGCGCCGGGCACCGTGCAGGCTCCTTGAAGCGCGTTAGACCGGGAGACGGGGTGGTTTCCCCAAAAGCACAGCCCTTGCAACGCCGGGCCTTTTCTGGTTGTATGCAAGCTTGCAGGAGGGCAATGGTCCCCAAAATCAACCCTACAAATTTCCAAACCAAGAGGGCATTTGAGCCTCTCAAAACATCTCCCCCCCATCCACCATCTCCCATCCACCCCCATCCGCCCACCCCATCCACCCCATCCACCCCATCCACCCCATCTACCCCATCCACCCCATCCACCCCATCCACCCCATCCACCCCATCCACCCCATCCACCCCATCCACCCCATCCACCCCATCCACCCCATCCACCCCATCCACCCCCCACCCCACCCCCCTCACTCCCAGTGCGGCGCCGCGGAGCTGTGGCTGGTGGCCGGTGACCTCGCGCAGTGGCGCTGCTCCCGCGGCGCCCCGCCCATGGACGCAGAGGCCCGGGCGCGCGCCCGCGCGCGAGCGCGCGCGCGGAGAAGGAAGCTGGTGGACGTGGGTAGCTGGCGTCGAGCTGAGCCGGAAGCGAAAAACCCGAAAAACACGTGGGGTGGGGGGGTGGGGTGGGGGGGTGGGGTCCATGTTTAGTGGCTCCGAAAGGGGTCACGTCCTTTCAGCAACTGAGTTTGCCACGGCCGCTCGTTAGCCCCAAGTGGCTGCACGCCGTGGTTGCAAGCGCCATAGATGGGTAGGCTTGCGTTGGGACGCAACTGGGCTGAGCAGAAGGGGCTCGTTTTGGACATCGAAAACGACAGCGTGTCCCTACAGGACAACTGATGACCGACCGCTTTTGAACAAGCCCATCATTGGTTAGGCAATGGTGGCTTTGTGGTTCAAAGGCTTGAGCTAATTACTCAGCAACAGCGGTGATCCACCGTTGTTTTCGCCTCTCTCCTGGCAGTCCAAACCCATCCAGCATCGATTTTGAATGCATGTTTGTTTCTTGTTTGTTGGAACTCTTTACCTTTACTCGGGGTGGTCACCGACACACAGCATGCATCAGAACGCTAGCAATCCACACAACTACGTTACACAACCAGTTGCGCGCAAATTGAGACCACCATTTGATCAAATTTAGCCCTATGTGAGGGCTTGCTCACGCTTTGGAATGCTCATTCACGTGTAACTATCATAATTTGCCTCAGGACTAGCCGCTTCCCTCACAAGCATTTACCCCCCCCCCCATACAATGCATATGTACATACAGCGCATGTGTATGATGCAAGTTGCGGGTTTACTTTTCTTGTGTAATTGTAGTGTACCGTAGAGAGCCGTCAAGTTCGAGCATCTAAGAAGCAAGCAAGCAAGGCAACAAAGCAAAGCAAAACAAAGCAACACAAACCGCAGGGAACAGCAAGCAGAGAAAGCAAAGAAACATCAAATGAAGAATAACTAAAGACAGACAAAAGCAAGAAAGAACAGAAGAAGGACAACAGCAAATAATTAGTCAAGCAAGCAAGCAAGCAAGCCAACAAAGGCCGCAACTAGTGCATCAAACACAACATCCACAAAGAGTGAAAGCACATGAATCACACCACTGCAACCACAGCAAAGGCATTGCAATCCCCCACAGCAAGGTTTTAAAGTGAACCTATCACTACTGGACATATGTTCTTGTTTTTTCCAGGATCCGCCAAAGCAAATGGCAGACAACCGTGCAGCCACAGCAAAGTCATATTTGCCAGGTCTGGCTTTGGGACGGGGTGCTGTCGGGGCAGCGCCGGCTGGAGATCCAGGCTGGGGTACTGAGTCGCCATAGCTGGGGCATCCCCGGCGAGGACGAAGTACAGGCGGGGCTGTGGGGGTTCAATGGGAAACGGGCCATTGAAACGGCCTGGACAAGCAGAGCGGGGGCAAAGTGCTTGTGCGCTCTATGTTGTGTTTTTGTTTTTTTTCTTCTCTCCCTTTTTGCTCGCGAGGAAGTGGCGAGCGAGCTGTGGTTTGGATGATGCTGGAAAACAAGATTCATCAAACCCCAACAAGTGCACAGCTGGGGGAGGTAACATATGTGCAACACATGTGAGGCGAGGAGGGGCAAGAACAAAACCAGGTCGCGACTCTATGATCTATGGGGCCTTCTCAGCCTTGGGCCCCATTTTTTAGGGATGAAATGACCAGGAGGAGAGCAGCGAGGGCGGCTTTTGCCTCTTCAGCGAGGGCCTCTGTGCCCCCTGCAGCTCCTTCGGCCCTTGGGCCGTGGCGCTTCACGCTGCCCGTTCCAACGGCTGCGCTGTGACGCGCCTCGCCGCCATGGCGGCGACGGAAGCGGCGCCATCGCGGACCGAGGACGCTTGGCGGATGGCCAGCCGCGCAAAAGGCGTTGGTGGCGTGTTTCCTTTTTTTGTATGTGTGTGTGTGTTTTCATTTCTGATGTTTGCGGTTTTTGTTGTTTTCATGTTTTTCTTCCAAAAAAACACCACTTGGTTTGCAAGGCTCTGGAAGGTGCAAACAAGTAGCCAGTACAATAGGAACTCCAGGCGACTGGCCCATCAGATCCTTGTGCTTGCGATGGTAAGGACTGCGCGTCTTCAGCTGCTCTGTGGCTGGGTCGTTTGGTGCCTGAAAGCGACGCGGAGGAGGAGAAGCGGCTGGTGGTGCACTCTGCTTGCCCCCTGACCAGAGGGAGTCGACTGCTTGGGGGTAGGGGCAAGCTTGCAGGCAGGAGATGCCAATGTTATAAAGCCGGGTTATGACGTTCAGCTTGATCACTAGAAGCACCAACTCGACAAAAACAGTAGTTCAGGCTGGCAGTTTTTTAAGGCTGATGCGGCTACTTCTTGAGCAGGTCGGGGTAGCCCACGCAAGAGCACTGCCCTCCGGCCGGCATCCACAGGGTGTGTGCTAAGTGAGTGGCAGCGGGGTACTGTTGACAGGGCCGCCGGTGCATGCATGAGCTGTGTTTGACCATGTTGGTCAGTAGTGAGACCCAGTGAGGTCTGTTGAGAGACCCTGTGTCCGTGTTGGTTTCAAAGCGAATTTATCACCACTGGACATATGTGCTCATTTTGTTCAGGTGGCTTAAGCAAATGGAAGGCCCCCAGCCATCCGGTTCCTTAGCTTTTTAGCCTTTTAGTGTTTAGTGGTAGGTTTTCCGTATTTAGGCCACTAAAGGTTAGTCTCACCTATCGGATCTGAAAACGGACAGCCAAGAATAATATGGCCCTTTTTCGGGATTTAGTTGATTTTGTGGTTGGGTTTCCGAATTTAACCCACCAATAGACCGCCCACCATCCATTGGGTCTGCAGCTTTGTCCTTCCAAAGCCGAGGCTGCAGCAGCGGCGCGGCTGGGGTGGCGGTGACGCTCAACGGGGATGAGGCTGGCAGCACCGGCGAGGACGGAGAAGGGCCGTTTGCCGTGGAAACAATAATTTTGGTTTCTTGGTTTCTTGGTTTCTTGGTTTCTAGGTTTCTTGGTGGCCCCCAGCCATGCGGTTCCTTAGCTTGTCTCGGGTTTTAGTTGGTTTTGTGGTTGGGTTTCCGAATCTAACCTACCAAGGGATCAGAGGACGGCCCAGGTTTCTAGAGGAATCTCCTGTTGGGATCGCCCCCCCCACCCCCAGGCGAGTACACGCAAGCTAAAGAACATGGTAGATAGCTAGCTAGCTGGGGAGAGATAGCTAGCTGGGGCACGTTGTCCGCAGTGGGTGTCAGGGTGGATTGCGATGAACATGCAACACACATGTTTGCACAATTGTTTGTTAAACACAATGTTTCGAACACGGCAAGGGGGAGGGGAGCACCCGTGGTCAAGAGTGGGCAGAAGAGGAAACACCATCAGCATACGATTGAACGCCCAGTGCACTGCAGAAGTTTGAGCAGCGCGAAGCATACACAGGAGATGGATGACATACAGGTCCTTGGTGAAAAAAGGCACCAGTTGTTCATTGAGGTTTCATCATTTTTGTCTACTTACCAGTATAAACTGGCGTCCGTTTGTTTTGACCCGAGCGGACTCATGTTTCCACGAACAGAAGCCGCAACCAGCATGGGTCCCTTTCGCGCCTATGTACGAAGGAAGCTGCTGGAGAATCAAAAGCAACCTTTTTGACTCAACTCGTGCAGGGCACTTGACTGACACGAGGGCGCTTCCGGCTAGGGGGTTCAGTGCTTCCGAATGGCCGCGAGAGAGAGAGAGAGAGAGAGAGAGAGAGAGAGTTTGACACATCCAAGCCGCTCAGCTGAACATATGCGATGCAATGTGCTTCTTCAGTTGGAAAATGCGGTGGGTGGCGCTCAGCGCATTTTTGCCTGGCTGTGATTCAACTCATGCGCGAGATGGCTATGTTGAGACCTTGAAAGCAACCGGGTTGGATCGAGCACAACGATGTTGACACATACCCCGGCAGCTTGGCCTTAAGACTGAGTAGGGCAATCCAAGTTCAATAATCGGTCAGCCTGCTTGCCCTTCATGGAGGGTTAGTCTTTGAAAAGCCCTTTGTGTTGTATCACAGAAGTGGTCATTTCCCACAGCCCTGCTGCTTGCAGCCGTGGTTTCTATCCCAATTGCATGTCCATGAGGTCGTAGGCGAAAGTCACAGAGACCGGATCGAGCCTCGGAGATTTCGGGAGGACGGCCAGCTGATATTGCAGGCCCGGGGCTCCTGCGTGGTGGGCATTCAAGGCATTCCGCCCTGCCGCTAGGCTTCCAACTCGGAGGGTCGGATCGCATTTGATTTGCAGAGGGCAGTCAAGCTGGCTGTGACCCAGCAGCTTCTTCAATAGGTACCTTGCCAAAAGTTTGTGCATGTTATCGCTTGGTTAAGTTGTGAGAGTTTGTGGACCTGCGCATCCCTGCACCCTCTTGCTCAGCATCAGTTTGAGCCTGACCCTGGCACAATGGCTTGGAAAGGCCCGTCCTGAGGCCAGGGGTCACTTCTGTTCAGTTTCTCCCTTCTTCCTTCTTCTCTTTTTGTGTGGGTTCCCGATGCCCACCCACACTATTTGTTTGGTTCCCCCGATTCCCACCTACATGGTCAACGAAAAAATGACGGGTTCTCTATTTGCACCAGGGTCACTATGGGTCAATTTTCGTCGGAGGCGATACCTGAGCTCCGCATAGCTCCCCCTTCGGGTTTTCCAGATGCGCTTGGATGCGCGGACACAGTGAGTGCTCAAAGCTAGGGGTATATGAGGATCGACCAAAATTCCCCTATGGCTTTTGTTGGAGAAAGGAATATTGGACAACCCTCACATAGTTGTTTCCCTTCAACCCATGTTTCTGGGTTTTCCTATTGCACCCTGGGACACCCTAGGTTGAGATTCCCCGAGCCAAAAGAGAACGGGTCTTATCTGGAAATGGCTAGAATAGGGTGATTTCCCAGAGGGCGTAGTTCGAGGGTGCAATAGGACAATGCTTGGACCATGACTTGGCCAATGTGGAGGCTTTCACTCACGATCCATAGCTTGCTTGTGGAAAACAATGCGCCATCTAAGGTAGTTTCCGCTACCGACAAGCGAGCAGCGTGAGAGGTTTAATGGGATACACAGAACCCCAGTTTACGCTGGGGGTGGTTTGGGGGGTGGAAGCCATCCTGGATAGGAAGCCACCAGACCCTACCAAAGTCAACTCATCCCCACCCCCCTTAAATCTGGGAAATTGGGGGAGGGGCATCCAACGACCCCTGGGGGTGAGCCATTTCGAAGTGGACTAGATCAATGGAGTTGGGCTCCCCCGCAAGCCCGGCGGGGGGAGATCAACCCCGATTTGAGGCCTGCTACCCGGCAGCACCTCGGAGTTCACGGCCCACCTGGACACCTGCAGCCGAGTGGATTTGGAGCTCTCCTGCACCCTGCCTGAAAAAAGCGAGAAAAAGCGACGCTGAGGGCTTGCAATGCTGGCTGGTGCGATACGCAGGGAATGAGGGAACGACGCCTATAATCCATCCCACAAGTGGTTTCCTTTGCGGGGACCCCAGATTTATTCCACATTCCCTACCTACCGCACCAGCAAGAATACGTGTAGAAGATCAAGCTGAGTCTTGGACTCAAGCTCACTGATAGCAGGTTACCTTTGCCACTTTCAGACTTTCAGTACTGGAGCTGGCTGGTTGTTCATGAATGTAGCCCGCGCTTGTTGGAATCTCGCTCCAATGCCAGCTCCTCTTGCATCCAGCTTTCCATACTCATGTTCGTTCCAGCGCCGATGTCACCTTCAGAAATCTCTTGGTCCCCTTTCAGTGAGCCATCAGCAATGTGCCTTCAAGCAGCGCTTTGTCCTGGCATTCGCTGCTCCTCTCCTTCAAGGGGCCGCGGGACAAGGGGCGCCTGAAAACCTGTCACGCCCATTGAACTGTGCTTGACCTTCGGCATGATGTTGACCCCCTATTAATTAACCCCAGTTTATTTTGAAGGGGAACACCCTTCCCTATTAATAAGCTGGGGTTGGTTAATATGTGTCAACATTCAGATGGATTCAACGACGCCTTTGCCGAACGGGCGAAGGCATCTTTTTTTCCGCGCCTGAGGCTTGGTGTGGGTCTACTGGTGGCGACCTGACGAAGACGACGAGGAAGCCGACGTGCAAGATGCCTTCGTCTTTCTTTGCACCAACGTGGAGCAGATCCCCGATGAGGTGGGAGGGGAAACGGCAAGCAGCTAAGCAGGCAGCGCGACCTTGGGAAGGGCTGCCGGGTTCTTGCTTTGTGCGCTTTGCATCATTTGCAGGTCACTTCAATGCCTTTCAGTTGATTTTTTGCGCGGCTTTTGTGTCGCAAAGCACTTGTTCACGGACTTCTTGTGATCCGCTGCTCTCTTGAACTGGAGTCCTTGGAGTCTCTAAAGTAGTCAATAGTTATCCGCAGGGGACCCTTTTTTAGCATCACTTCAGTAGAAACCACCCTAATACACATACACATGCTATACATGTATATATATATAATATATAATATATATATATATGTAAAACAAATGCCCTACATATTTTTTGAGGATAGCCCAGGTCTCACCCCTAACCAAAGAGACATGGCCGTGGGTCAAAATTAAAGAGCTAGGGAAACGCAGGTTTCGGTCGTTGGTTCCATTTGCCAAGGTGCCGTTTATGTACATGGTTTGAGCCGCAGCCACATGGCAGCCCTGAATTGTGCTGTAGCTTACTCGGTCAATGGCTAGCATTCCAGGCTTGACTTGTGGCTGGTAGTGGTGGCTCCCCGCGAAACGGCTGTGTCTACCTCGCAGACAGAACTCGTGTGGCGCGCTCACAGGCCATGCCGATTGAGGGCAGCCTCTTCTGTGCTGAAGCGGAGGAGCAGGGCTAACTGAACCACAAAATATTGGTGTGTTTGTTGTTGGGGAATCCTCTACATTTGAGGTGAAATGTGTCATTTTTACATATAAATAAACTCTACAAAAGAACGGTCACTTCCAGGACCGGCTCCAAAATCTTGCTTTTACAGCTCCAAATGGCGAATCCGCTTTGGGGTGGTTTTGAAGTGGAACCTAAAGGAAACACATTTGTTGGGATCCGCTATTTTTGAGACACAGGCAACTGTCCGAACCTGATTTTGTGACTTGCAGGTGATGTGTGGGCTGTTTCTGGCAGGAACAACTCCACTGGATGAACTGCGCAAACTTAACACTTCATTTTGATTCACCGGTGGCTTTTGGAGGGTCTGTTTTGCAGAGCCAGTCGCCCTTCTAAGTTCATACGTCCCAGGACACCCATTTACAATGCAATCATGTCATTAAATGGACACCTGACCTATTTGGCATTTGGGCCTCAACTATTCAGGTGGCTTCCTCTTGGTTTCAACCAAAACGATGGTATCCAAAACGGTGCCCCAATAAACAACAGACCCCGAGCCTACTTGGATGTTCAACCCGCTTAGTAGGCAGGTTATAACTTACAACCAGAAGGGGACCCCAGTTACCCAAGTTACACCCCCCCACCAATTATCATGGAACCTGCCAGGGGGTTGCCGGGACATCATGTTCCTCTTCAAGGCACCCCCTGTCAGGTTCTACGTTTGGGAGGGCAACCATGATTATGACCTGCTTACTAATCCATTGGGGTTCAAACCACCAATATAATAAAACAATGGTTGGGTGCATACAACCACCTTTGGTTTCCTAAGGATTGTCATCCAAATTGGGTCCTTGCCATTCTTTTAATGGGGGCAAGGAACCCTAGGGAATCGAGCTGAACCTCTGAGCCTCGAAAGGAGCCCGAGATCCGCCTCTCCCACGGGAGGGTGAGCCCTGTGCTGCTGCGTCGATCCCGGCTGCAGGGGGGCACCTGCTTGGTGAGCCGCTCAGATGCGATGGTGAAAGCGTTTGGATCCCCACCCCCATCAAAATGGAAATTCCATTTAGGGTTCCATTTTCCCTTTTGGAGAAGACTGAATAAATGGAATTGTGGGACCCCCCCACCCCCATCCCTGTGGTCTTTCAAAGGGGAACCAAAAGGAGGTTGCCTAGGTTCCCCAGCTAGGTGTCCTTTCTCACCCAACGTTTTTGGTGGGAGGGTTCCCCTACGAAAATAGACTACAGAAAAAAGTTGGTACCCTTATTCTAACCTCTTTACTGGAGGACCTAGTTGCTTAACCAACAATATGTTCAAGCATGTTTAGAAATTGGGGCCAGGCACCCTGAGCTCGCTGGGTTCTTTGTGTGGATGTGTGTCATTTTAAAGCTTGGACCCCCACTCTCTCTCTCTCTCTCTCTCTCTCTCTCTCTCTCCGTTAAGGATGAAACCCCCGATTGACTCCCTGGGCTTTGAAACAGCACGAAGCAAGCAGCTGGGCCTGTAGGGCATCGCGCCGCTACTTATCACGCGCCCCAAAAAGCTCTGAGACCCAGGGGGCGCCCTTAGATTGCCCTTGGCACACCTCACAAGGGCTCAGTTCAAAAAGCACACACACACACACACACTGTATGTGACAGTACGCGTATACGGACAATACACATGTCATTTGTATGAGTTTTGCATGTGTCTGCGCACAAATACATACACAGGCGTGCGGGTCCTCTTTGCTTCGTGCCGATGCTGAAGAGTGGCGAACAAGCTGCAGGCCCCAATAGCAACATGGGGAGTTTTTGAGGGTACACGTTTTTGCGGAGGGGTTTGAAGGGAAACCAAAAGGAACGCCACAATTGTGACGGACAGAAAGAGAGAGAGAGAGAGAGAGAGAGAGAGAGAGAGACAAACCAATAGAAACAGAGAGAGAGAGAGAGAACCCCTTGGCACCCTATCCCCATCTACCGCTCTCTCCATCCCCTTCGACTCAACACTTAACGAATTTACATGCTCCCGGGCTACGCGGCTGAACCGCGTAGCCCGGGACTAGCGCGTTCTGTGCCAAGGTGCGAAACCCAACCAATTCGACTCATATTTTAAGAGGAACGGGTGTTTCGCACCAAATGAGGTGTCCTTTGCCATCCAAAAAGGGTTGCCCAGGCCAGCTGCGGGTGGAGGTGATCGCGCCACCAGGCGGGACCGTGGTTGGTGAAACGCTTTCGGCGGGTCGTTCCCATAGGTCCCGGGAGCGGTTTGAAGCGCGGCCAGGTGGGATACTTTTTTGGGGCGCGTGTGGGCCCAAATCTTCGTTGCAACTTGCTTGGATGGTAGGACTTTAACTTTTTGCCATTTTTTGCCAATTAATTGGTTTTCCATTGAGCCACTTGAAGTTATCCACTTTTAGCAGGGGAGCAGAAAGCAACCGAGGAATGGGACGGGTTTTAAGTTGCTGTGGGTGCCGGAGGCAAGCACAGCTGTGCTGGAATTGCTTAATCTTGGTTGCAAACATATGGCTTGATGCAGTTGAAGGAATCAAGATTGAGGAAGGGCAGGCTCAGCGCCTCTCACCACTCTTAGCTGCCTGTGTTCAACATTCAAGCCCCCGCCGTGTTTTTGCCCTATCGGGAAGTCAAACGAAGCCACGCTCCATTTTCCTTCCTCAGAATTAGCTCCCTTTTTTGATTTTTGCTTCTTTGGGGTCCTTTGTTTTCCACCAACCAGGCAAAAAAGATATTTTTTTGCTTGGGTCCTAATTCCAGCCTAGTGGTTTCGCCTGCTTGGAACCCAGCAAGGTCTGTCAAAAGTTGTTGGGCACCTCCCCAGAGGAAGGCTGAGAAAACTTGCCGGTGCTCAGAGGGGAGTCCCTTAAAGGTGTGGAAAAACACCCAGAAAAAGAACGATTTTTTTTGGGGTCAGGAACCCACTGAAAAATGTTTGTTTGGGGTCAGGAACCCATAGAAAAGTGGTTTTTGTTGGGTCATGGGCCAATTTTCTCCTTCGCCGCGAACCGGGGCCGGCCGCGAAAGACCTCGTGGCTCGCCGGCCAGGCTACAAGTACGTGGCGCGGCACCCCTCGCCGCTGCAGATGCGGCACGAGGAGCTCGGAGGCTGCGAGCTGCAGCGCTTGATGCACTGCCCCGCAGTGGTCGGGGACCTGAAAATGACGGAGCCCGCACTGGCGGCGCGACAGCGCAAGGAGAAGAAGTTGGGAAGTTCGTGGTGTTGAGGAAGAATCATGATGTTTTTGGACTTTGGTTTCTGTTTCTCGTTTGTTTTTCTCTCTTTCTCTCTTTCTCTCTTTCTCTCTTTCTCTCTTTCTCTCTTTCTTTGTTTCTTTCTTTCTTTCTTTCTTTCTTTCTTTCTTTCTTTCTTTCTTTCTCTCTTTCTTTCTCTCTGTCTTTCCAACCCACAAAATGGAACAACGCAGAAAACCATGAGTGGCTTACGGTCGACTCACCAAAAGCCTCACCTTTCGATGGCTGCGCAAGCTGATTCTGTTTGTTTAAAGCAAAAACCAAGTTTCTTCAGGTCGAACCTCGCGAATGTCGCAGAGGCTTGCGCGAGCGAGGTGAAAATCATTGAGCATCGTTTAAAAAACAACAAAAAAGTGGAGGGCTGTACGCAGAGGGTTCACTTTTTGAAGATTGCGAACCAGCGCGCGAGGCCGTGTCAATGGGGCCCATCTCCGAGTCTGATGTCGCCGCCGAAATCGTTTGCTTGCGCCCATGCGGTATGTTCTCGCGTTTTCCAGCTTGTATACGTAGCCTTTTCACGCGCAGCTCATCTAGTCTTAAAGATCATGTGCAGGTGCATGCACTTTTTAGAGAGCTACTTCAAGCAGTGTACGACGGAAGTTCCTTCCAAATTCCTGTGTTCTTGATGATGTCAAGGAATCCCTAATATGGGTTTTCAGAGCTTTTCCTTTGAGTGCCACAAAGTTCCGAAGGGCAGGACCCACCACTCGTTTGCTCAATGCAATTCTGCCTTTTCAGCATGGTTCCAAATTCGGTCTCTTGAAAGTGTTACCCAAGAATCTAAGAAGCATTCGTGGCATGTTGCGCCAAGTTGAAATCTGCGAAGGCCCCCAATACCGTTCCTTAGTGACAAAAAAGTTTCGGAGTCTGTTGTGGGACTTGCCAGGAGACCAGCAGAGGTCATGAGTCTGAGGGGGGAGGACCCAGTGCTTGGCAGTCTGACCATGGCGTCGAGACGCGGCCTGAGTCAGCTCATGGCGACTGCTACCAACCTGACGGAAGCATCATTTACGAACAGGGCAGTGTCACTTTTGAGGCTGGCAGTGTGACGTTCGACCATGGAGATGAAGCATATGACCAGCGCAGTCAGCCAGACAGTCGGGAGAATGATGCGAGCTACATCTCGCAGTCTGACCATGGCCAAGCTACATATGATGACGATGGTGTTTCTAGCGCGACTTACGAAGACGACAACGTCTCGGAGTCTGACCGGGAGGGCTCGCAGTCAGAATATGCCAAAGACGCCCCTGACGACGCGTCTGATAATGACATGGAGGCCTCTGACCACGCCACTCGATCTGAGCATGCCAGGGCTCTCAGTGACAATGGCTCTCTAGCTGACCCAGTCGAGTTCAATCCCAGCAACGTCCCCCAGGCTGACACTGTGGCGAATCCCAGTGATGGCTCTGAGGCTGACCTTGTCATGGCGACTCCAAGTGATGGCTCTCAGCCTGACCTTGCGACTCCAAGAGATGGCTCCCCAGAGGGCCCTGAATTGGTGGCTCCAAGCGAGGGAACTCAGTCTGAGATTGGGGAGGCCTACGACGATGCGTTTGAGTCTGAGGGAGCCGGCGAGTCTGAAGCAAGCGATGAGGAATAGGTCACAGTCCATCATGGCGTTGGCTGGGGGCCAGTGCCAGCGATGCGAGCAGCGCCTTCCCATCTCGCTGAAAGCCGGTCTTTTTTTTTCCCCCTTCGGATTGAAAGATTGTTGACACCCTTTGGGTATAGCAGCGAGCCGGGATTTGGGCCGCTCGTGTCATTGAGAGTGCCCTTTTTTTCCGCCGGCCGCTCAACAGAGGCGGCAGCCTTGGCCCTGAAAATCAGCGGCTTGGCCAAAGGGCAATCATCACCAGAAATTGTTGGTATTCAGGCTGAACGTGACTCTCCCAAAGGATACCTCAGGATGCGCGTTCTGTCGGCAAACTTACATCAGGGATGTTGGTCCGCTGGCATTTGCATGCATGAAAAGAGGGTGCAAGACGTGGTGGGCTGTGCGTGGCTGGAGCGTAGCCTATGGGGGACAGCTTTTGCTGTCAATTTCCACCCCGATATGGTGGTCTGAATTTCGGCTTGTCTTGATATCTTTCTTTCTCACTCACGCTCCCTCTCTCTTTCTTTTTCCTCTCTCTCCCTCTGCATTTTCAGAAATGGCTGTGGCTCCAAAAACCGGTACCACAATGGAACCCTGGCAAGTGGAAACATGGGTACCAAAACCTGCGGAATTAACCCCTGCTGCTTAATTTTGAGCCGCACCCAACTCGGCTATAGATTTGGCCTGGATTTCTGGGGCCGAAGCTCCGAACCGAGGGCTCGGGCGAATCAGGCCCATGCGACAAACCGTGAGTTCGTCTTTTTTTGGTTGGGAGGGGTCCCCTACTAAAATCGACCACAGAAAAAAGAAACTGTACCCCTAATCTAAGCTCTCCACTGAAAAAACCTAGTACTAATTCAAGCAAACAACACAAGAAAGGAACATCATGTTGACCCCATATCCATGAAGGGGGCCCCTCCAAAAGTCGTTTGCTTCCCCTCTAAACCCAGTTGGACACCCCCCTATTGATAAACTGTTGGTTGAAATTCATAGGGGGTCAACATTACACGCAAGCTTCTGCCCAAACATGGCCAAACAATCCAAATCGGTTCGTTCACCGCCACGCTTGCCGTGAACGTCCCGGCTGGTGGTCCAGTGATGCTTCCAGCGTGCAGAAGTGGCCACAGTTACTTGGTGGCTCCCAGCCATCCGGTTCATTGGCTTTTCAGCTTTTCGGTTTAGCCCTAGGGTTCCTTGCCCCCATTAAAAGAATGGCAACCCAGTTTGGATGACAATCCTGAGAACACAATGATTGTGAATATGACCCCCCATTGTTTTGATGGTTTGACCCCCAGGGTGGGATGGTGCGTCTTGGTTCTATGAACCCTGGGTTTCTGTTCAACCAGCTCAGATCTTGGCAGGATCTCAGTCTCAGGGCAGCCCAGGCTTCCGGTTTTTTTTGGCGCGACGTGGAGGAATCAAATTTCAGGCCAATGGCACAAGGTCCCCCAGCAATTGGTGCCAACTTTTACCGTTTCCTTTTTGGGGGAGGCTTCCCCTACTAAAATAGACAAAAAAGAAAGGAAGAAACGGTACCCTTATATTCTAGGTCCTCTCCACTCGAGGACCTAGAGAAGGTGAACGTTTTCCGGCCAACACGAGCGCCTTCGGGCTGGCGCAGTTCTTTTCGCGTCCCGCGAAAGCCAAAAGCGCCGCGAGCTTGAGGTGAGCTGCGGGAGATCCTTTGAGGTGCAAGCTGGGGACCCCGAACTCGGCTCGACTCGCGCAAGAGAGGCACACTCTTTGGAAGGGATCTCGAACCGAAGAGCCCGAGGGAAGCCAAGCCTTCGATGTTCCGGCTTTAGGCCTAGGGGTCCAACATGGAAGTGACAGCTGATGTCCAGTTTTGGTGAGAGCTGGTTTTCACTCGCAGGACAAGCAGAGACTGCGGAATAAAAAAAAAACATAGCAGTGTGGTAGTCCCAGCATCAGGGGTCTACGTTTACTTCTTCCAGCAGACCATCCTGGAGTAAGCAGATCGATGGGGTTCACTTGGAAGATTCTGGAAGTCTTTGGCGGGTTTCCAATGCAGGGCCTTTCGTCGAAACATCCCGCCAGCAATCCGCAACGTTCCCCAAGCATTCTTTTGATGGTACCAACGTTTCTCCCCGTGCCTGGTGAAGCTCAAACAACGAAAGAAGAGTGGGGATAAGCAGACAGGCCGCTTCTGGAGGACTCCTGCGTGAACGTTTGTGTTGCTGCCGTTGTCGGTTATGCTGCATGTACCAGTGTTGCTGCTGCTGTTCATGCCGTTGCCGTGTTCTCCCTGCCAGTCGGACGTCTAGTCGCTTCTGCCTATGGGCCCCACAACTGGTTGCGACCTTCGAGTTCCCTGAAACGCTCGGATTTCTCCTGAGCACCCTGTCTCTAGGGTTCAACCCCCATTAAAAGAAAGGCAAGGACCCAAGTTGGATGATGACAATCCTTAGGAGAACAACGGTGGTTGTATTTGAACCCCCATTGTTTTGGTGGTTTGAACCCCTGGGTGGGATGGTCATGCGTGGGTTTTGGCAGCTTTGTTGTTGCAGCTTAGGTGGCTGAGGCATGCCAAGCCGCCTTGGGAGCTCATTGGGTTTGCCAAGTTTATGGCGAGCTCACCGATTCGTATGTCTCCCATGATAAAGATCCTTTACTTGGGGATTCCTTAGTTCAGGTGTTCATTTTTTGTTTAGGTTAGTTTGTCTCGCTTCTTTGGAACGCCCCTTGAATTAATTTCCCTGAGCTTGTGATGTGGCTCTGGAGATGGGTGTTTCAAGGACAGTAGCCAACCAATTGACTCAGGTAGTGGTAACTTCCCCAGAATTTGGGTCCCTTTGTTTTCCACTAACCAGGCAAAAAGGATATTTTTTGGCTGGGGTCCTAATTCCGGCCTAGGTAAGTTATAGTCTTGATGCCCGGTGTGCCCCAGCCTTTGGGACTCATTGCGCCAAGGCTGCCAAGGTGACAATGCATTGCAGCTTGCCGTTTCACTCATGGTGTCACCGTCTAGTGCTCGATGGAGTTGGCTATGGAAGAGCTGCAAACTAAAGGTTTGACAGTCTTGCGTGACCAGGGTCCAGGCTGGATGCTTTGATTCTGACATGCATCATGACCTTTTGCTGGTGCCAAACTAGTGCAAGCACCCACAACATCCCAAAAGAGTCAAGCACATGGGTGTGTTTAAAGTCGGATCGAAACTTTTGAAAGCTTTGTTTATTTGCCAGCTTTGTGTTGCCAGATAGGACCTCCATTGTGTAAAGTAAGTGCTGGTCAAAAAGCGGATGTTCCTGCCTTTGAATACGCTGCCCGCTCCAGGATAACGCTGGAAAGAAGCAAGGCTCCCAAAAAGCACTTTGAATCGAAACGGTGGATTGAAACGACAGAATTTGTGCTTTTTCGGCAAACCTCAGAAATTTTACACATCGGATGTTCGAGGTATATAGATCTCACATGCCAGCGGCCAACTCCAGTTTTCAGGCTTCTCTGAAAGAGATGCAAGAAACGTTTTCCTGCTGGGTGCTTGCCACATGCATGCAACGCTGCATGCCGATTCCGCGGCAACGAAGTGTTCTGAAGCGGCGGCACTTCCGGCGGCAGTGTCACGCGACCCGCGTCCAACCGCCGTCCTGACATCGGTGGTGGAGGATGGTGGCTGACCTCAAACCATTTTCCAGATTAGGGCAACTTCCTAGGAATGAACCCCACACATACGACCCATAATCCACCCTGGACATTGTAGCTTCACATGGTACGAGCGTGACAGCATCAGCCATGAAAAGTGCCCGCTGATGCGCTTAATGAAGCGCAGTCCTCAACCAATGGTGTTGTCAGATGCTTGGAACCACATCTTGGGCTGCTCAATGAAGCCTGTTGGACTTGCTGTGCCAGTGGAGACAGTGGGAGGTCAGCAAAGACAGGCGAGCAGCCTGAGTGAGCAACTGAGGGCCGCTAAGGCCCTCATGATGCAAAGCATCACAGGACCTTTCAGCAGACCAAGGCTCTGTGGCGCAAGGGATGTCTTCACATGGCTGAGCAAGCGGGAAAAACATGGTGTTGACCTTGGCACACGTTGTCTTGGCAACTTCCGTGTTTGGGGGGCATCGTAATCTCCGCGGCAGCATGTAACCAGCGGCCTCAGAGAGTCTTACGTGTGTCCAGAGGGTGCAATTTCGGAAAGAAATCCGAAGGCCCACGATGACCAAAGGAACCAATGCAATTCAGCATGTCAAAATCTCGGGGCCATCCTGTAGTCCGCGTGGGCTTCGCTTCTCCAAACGAGAACGACTGTTCTTTTTTGGTATCAAGCCTCGGCGAGACCTCTCTAGAAATGAAAAGTGATCCTCTTTTGGGACCTTGACTAAAAAAAGCCAAAAAAGGTTGAACGCCAAAAGGTTGAAAAGTTGCTTTAGAACAGAGATGTTGCATTGTCTCGCAATGCCTCCCATGGGACGATGCCTGTGCGCGACCTTTCTCGCCCATCTTAAGGCGCGCTGCGACGGGTTGAGGGTGAGGGCAACTTGCGGGCGTTTGCACCTTCGCGCCGCTTGGTCGATGGGGGCATTGATGCTCACAAAACCCCGGAGCCCAGAGCAGAGCATATAAATCTATATACAAAATATGCACAGTTACATATTCACATATAGATTCATCCAAGGGTCCAGGTACACGAAAGCAACGTTCCAAGGTGAAAAAGAGGGCTGCCCATATATGTGTATATATAGAAATGCTATAAGGACGACTGTTTGGGTATGTTGTTTCCCCTGGTCGCCTTCCACGGGTCAAGGTTTCAGTGAGTCGCTTACGCCCAAAGGAGGTAAATGGTGAAGCCGTGGGAGGCCTTAAATGAGGTCGAGGCATGGCAGGTGAGGCATGGCAACGCAGCAATCCGTGGGATGACATGGGGGTTGGCATTGACAAGCGGGAAAGCAGAATCTGCCTTGACGATTCGACGGCCGGCTTTAAAACTTTAGTTGTTTGAAGCGGCGCTCTTGGGGGGCATTCTTGTCCGGCCCGTCAGAATTATCTACGACATGAGCGAGTAGCCAGACGGGTACATCAAGAGTATACTCTTCACTTGGGCCGTGCAAGCATTTTACAAACGATATAGAACCATAGCCACAGCTCC